TCAGAGGGCGGGAGGTAGATCTGGCAGATACCCAGCCCTGGAAACCCATAGGACTGGTGTGGCTTCCCGGTCTGCTGCCCTGGGCCTGAGTGTCACAGCCCAGGGACAGGCAGGTTCCTGTCCTGTGAGGTCAGCAGTGAGGTGAAAGGGCACCATTGGGGCCCATGGGGGATTCTTGGATAGTTCTCCATGGGGAGGGGAGACGGACGGGAGTGCAGAGAGCTTTTTTTCGCCTCAGAAAATGGCAAGTCTATGAGGGGAGGAAGCATGAAGTCCCCACGTCAGCTGAGAGAACAAAGGAGAGCATTGTATTCCAGGGGGGCCCTAGTGAGTTCTCCATGTGTCTTTCCAGACTGAGTCCCAGGAGCACGGGGCGGGCGGGGAGAGGAGCTACAAATAGATCTGACTGGAGGTTGGGAAAACTATGCGGAATTAGGGCACATCTCAAAATTACCCCAGAAATGATTTTTGTTTTCATGTATTTCTTTTTTGGCTTAGGTTGTAAATAAAAGAGTTTAAATAAGTGATACCCATAAAATAAACTATAAACCAACCACTAAAAAAAGCAAGGTACAATTCTAATTTTATATATACACACGCACAAACACTAAAATGTTCAATAGTAGTTACTCCAGGCAGTGAGATTCACCATTTTCAGTCCTTTTAACTAAGATTTACCAGTTGCTGTCGAATAGATTCCAACTCATGGAAACCCCGTGAGTGTCAGAGTAGAACTCTCCCCCATAGGGTTGTTGATTTTTCAGAAGTAGATCACCAAGCCTTTCTTCCCAAGAGCCTCTAGGTAGACTTGAACTTCCAACATTTGGTTAGCAGCCAAGCATGTTAACCAGTTACACTACCCAGGAACAATTAGTATTTAGAGAGCACTGGTTTTGATAAGTTCTGAGGATACAGTGGAAAACCCCTTTCAAAACCCCTGCCCTTATACAATTTATTTTCTAAGAGGCGAGACATACAATAAACAGTTAAGCAAAACCAAATAAAATGACTCTAACAAAAAAATAAAAACAAAAAAAAACAAACCAAGCCCGTTGCCGTCAAGTCATTTCCAAATCATAGTGACCCTACAGGACAGAGTAGAACCACCCCATAGGGTTTCCAAGGAGTGGCTGGTGGATTCGAACCACCATCTTTTTTATTAGCAGCCGTAGCTCTTAACCACTGTGCCTCCAGGGCTCCAAAATGACTCTAGGTTGCGAAAAAGAGGAAGACCCTCAATGAGATGGATTGACACAGTGGCTGCAACACTGAGCTCAAACATAGCAACGACTGTGAGGCTGGCACAGGATCAGGCATTGTTTCGTTCTGTTGCCCGTAGGGTTGCTATGAGTTGGAACTGACCTGACCCGACAGCACCTAACAACAACAGCAACAATAACCAGCTTGTTATTCGTGGAATGAAGCAAAACAGAGACTAGTCCTTCAGATAGGGTGGTCAGGGAAGGTTCTCTGAGGAAGTGACATTGGCACCGAAAAGGCACAAAGGAGCCTGAGATCTGGACGAGAGCCCGTGAGCAGAGGGAGAGCAGGTCCCAAGTCCAAGGTGGGGAAGCACTAGGCTTGTCCTAGGAACTGAGGACCCCAGTGATGTGGGACCACAGCGGTCAACAAGAGGTCAGTATGAGTGGAGGCCCAGGAGGAAGGCGGGAGTCAGGTCTGCCAGGGCCTGTTAAACCTTGGTAGTGAGTTTAGATTTTATTCCAGGTGTGCTGGGATACTGTCAGAGCAGCAAAAAGACATGCTCCTATCCCCACTCTGAAAGATCCCTTAGCTATTTTAGAGAATGGTTTAGAGAAGGCAAGTGAATGATTTGGTTTTTGATCTTTATACCTTTATGCATTTCCAAACATATATATATATTTTGCATTGCACAAATCTGCTGCAAAAGACCTCTTTAAAGTGTTAGAAAGCAAATATGTCACTTTGAGGACTAAGGTGCACCTGACCCAAGCCATGGTGTTTTCAGTCGCCTCATATGCATGAGAAAGCTGGACAGTGAATAAGGAAGACCGAAGAAGAATTGACACCTTTGAATTGTGCTGGCAAAGAATGTTGAATATATTTGGACTGCGAGAAAAATGAACACATCTGTCTTGGAGGAAGTACAGCCAGAATGCGTCTTAGAAGCGAGGATGGCGAGACTTTGTCTCACCTACTTTGGACAAGCTGTCAGGAGGGACTAGTCCCTGGAGAGGGACATCATGCTCGGTAAAGTAGAGGATGGTGAAAACAATGAAGACTCTCAATGAGATGGATTCACACAGTGGCTGCAACAATGGGCTCAAACATAGCAATGATTGGGAGAATGGCGCAGGACCAGGCAGTGTTTTCTCTGTTGTACATAAGGTCTCTATGAGTCAGAACCAACTTGACAGCACCTAACAACAATGTATATACATATATATACACAAATATATTTATATAGAGGCCTGGTGGCGAAGTGGTTAAGCATTCCACTGCTAACCAAAAGTTGGCAGTTTGAATCCACCAGCTGCTCCTTGGAAACACTGTAAGGCAGCTCTACTCCGTCCTATATGGTCTCTGTAAGTCAGAATTGAGTTGACGGCAATAGGTTTGGTTTTTTGGTTTATATATATGTGTATACACATGCATACACACACATATATGTATATGTACATGGAGCCCTGGTGGCTCAGTGGTTAAGTGCTTGACTGCTAACCAAAAGGTCAGTGGTTCGAATCCACCATCTCCTCCATGAGAGAAAGATGTAGCAGTCTGCTTCTGTAAAGATTGACAGCTTTGGAAACCCTATGGGGCAGTACTACTGTGCCCTATAGGGTCGCTGTACTTTTTTTTATTTTTATGCCTGTTTGCTTGCTAGACCGGCCCATGCTTTGGGGCTTTCACCAGCAGGATATTCTTGTAAACTTCTGTAACTATAACCAAAGTTAGGCATGGAGGCTGTCCAGCCCCTCACACACAGCAGGAGACCCCAAGAAGCCCTCTACTTGACCCAACATGGCCTAAAGGAAGACAACCTCTGGACAGAGTTCATTTCCACACAGAAGGGAGTTACAGATACATCCCAAGAGAGAATGGGCTTGGGGGCTTGTGGCTGAGAGAATCCTCCAACAACTCCCTTCTTAACATGAAAAGTGAATCTTCCCTTCTTTTTGTAACATAGTCAGGCCTGGACCTCTCAGAAAGACACCAAAATTCCATTCTGTGTCCTGAGAAATAAATCCCTCAGCCTAATAATGAGCGTAATCCTCTTTTACAGGTGAAGACCTTGCGATTCAGAGGAGAAGTTTGGCTAGGTCACAAAAACGTAGGAGAAGGGGGCAGGCACCCGAGATGCCTCCCTCACCTCCCCTGTGCCCAGGTCAGCGGAGCATTGAGGGAGTGCCTGACCCCCCTGGAACCCTCTGACAAGATCTGAGCTAGGTGTCCCTGTGGAAAGGGGCCCTGAGGGGGTTCTGCTTAGGATGCCTGTGATGAGTCAGAGAGCGGCTGGAGGAAGTTGACCGATTTGAGCGGTGGAACCAGTCCATCCGCTTTCATCTGGGGAGGAGGCCAGGCTGGCATGATATAAAGCTTCCATGTCCCCTGCTCGGCTCAGCAATTCACAAGAAGCTTCTTGCTGGTCCTTGCCGTGAGCCTGGTAAGCATCAGCGGGCAGAACCGGGGTTGGGACTGGTGGCCTCTAGCTGGCCAGAACGTGGTTGGGGGTTAACCAGCCCAGGTGGTTATGGGCTGGCTGGATTCAACTGGACCACCCTTCCTTCCAGGAGGCCTCAGGTCACTGTGCTGAGAGAAATATGCCCTTGCATGGAAAATGCAGAACAGAGAAAAAATCCTTCTCCTCCATCTTTTCTTGGGATCATATTTTGGGATTTGTATGCATGAGGGAGGGAGTTAAGTGCCCAACTATTAATCAAAAGGTTGGAGAATCAAGTCCACGCAGAGGCGCCTCGAAAGAAAGGCCTGGTGATCAATTTCTGAAAGATCAGCAATTGAAAACCCTATGGAGCAGTTCTACTCTGACAAACATGGGATCCATGAGTTAGAACTGACTTGAGCATTTTTTTTTTTTAATGTGTGAGAGAAGTAACAAGGGGGGAGGAAGTGGAATAGGAGCCCATTTCTTTTCTAAAACTGTTTGATTTGTGGGGAATATTTTACCTTCTTCATGGGGGCAGTGGGTTTCAAAGAAACACTTATAACCCTTGGATGTGCTGCAGAAAAAGGGAGTCTTTCTATTTGGAGAAACCCAGGCAGAGCAGGGGAGGAAAACCCCACTTAGAAGCCCAGGACTAGAGAGAGCCAGCTCACAGCCCTCAGCGATCTTCCAGCCCCCACCACCCAGGTACTGGGATAGCAGCTAAAACTGAGAAGGGCGGGAGAGAAAGAAGCTCTGGAGCTGAACTAGGCCAGCCTGCTAATTTTACAGACAGGCTAAGTGACTTGCCCAGAAACACACAGCAATTTAGTGGAAGAAGTAAGACTAGACTGTGTCGTGTGACTCCAGTCCAGCACTGTTGCCACCACCTCTCTGATCCTCTCCACCACAGGCTACTGATCTTCCAGGACTAAGGAGTCCTGCAGGAGACTTCTTTTCCTAGGACCTTACCTCGTATTGTAAGGCAATCCCAGAACGCCTCTCCCCTCCCTGGGCAGCGGCCCTCAGAGATAAGGGCAGAGGTGAGGGTCAGAAACAAGATCAGAGAGTGGAATGGTACCCAGCCCGGCCCTGCAGAACAGCTCTGCAGACAGAGCTTCTGTTGGCTCCTGCTTGGGGACAAGGAAGCTTCCATGAAGGCCCTTCCCTGCCTCTCCTTGCTCCCGCCCTGAACCCTCTGCTGCTTCTGGGGAATAAGAGCCTGGGTGGGCCCCCAAGGGAAGCACAAAGATGCTCAGAAACCAGGTGCTAGTGCCGATTTCCAGGGAGTCTTCGTCTACCTGCTTTGCTTTCAGACTACCCCTCCTGTTTTTCAGGTTGACCTAAAGCGGCCTCTGAGATGTCCCAGCAGTACAAACTGCCAGTGACCCTCCCCGCTGACCTCTGTCAGCCACCCCTCAAGACTGTTTCTCCTCCTGTCGATACCCAGCAGGAGCAAGTGAAGCAGCCAGCCCCACTGCCTTCCCCAGGCCAGAAGGTGCCCTCTGAGCCCCCAGTGAAGGTACCCTCAGAGCAGGGGGAGAAACACACAGCTCCTGTGAAAGAGGTGCCTGAGCAAGAGTTGGGGCAGCAACAGCAGCCACAGGAGCAGGAACAGCATAAGGAACAGCAGCACAAAGAACCACAGAAGCTGGAACAGCATCAGGACCAGCAGCACCAAAAGCCACAGAAGCTGGAACAGCAACAGGAACAGCAGCACCAAGAGCCACAGGAGCTGGAACAGCATCAGGACCAGCAGCACCAAGAGCCACAGGAGCTGGAACAGGAACAGGAACAGCAGCACCAAGAGCCACAGGAGCTGGAACAGCATCAGGACCAACAACATCAAGAGCCACAGGA